CAAAAAAAGTAGAGAAACAGGTAGAACCTTTAGCTGTGGACTGCTTTCCGGACCGACGATCACATCCAGCAGATGTTGCCTATAGACGTGGTACAACATCGAGTTCGCTAAATAGTCTGATGCGTAGAATTCGATCATATGGACACCTGAACGAAAAATTATGGATAGGGTGATCGAAACGCAGTACATTAGCCTGATATAGAGCTCCTACCGTGAGGGTAGGGTATTCGAATGTTGGGCGGATAGAAAGGTGTTCCACCGTTGCCACGCCTGAAGAAAGCAACCGATAGTATCAATTGAATATTAGAAACATTCTAGGCGAAGGGGTGCAGCGGCAAGTGGCCCGCTTACCACGCGCAGGCGTTCTGAGGCGCAAATCCCGGAGGGGATCCCGTCCAAGTCGAAGCCTTCTGTAGTAGGGGACGGCAAATGAGTACTAAGTCCGTCAGGGAGGATGATACGGTTACCTGTGGTTCGCACCTCATTGCATAGGCCCTATGGCATTCCATAAGCCAGTACGATAGTGAATGGAAGTAGAGTGTAAGCTACATCTTAAAAGGGCTGAAAAACGGAGAAAGCTTTCTCCTTATCGCTTATCAGATACGCAGGGGGGGGGCAAAAAAAGTCACTTTTCTTTGACTTTCGAGGCGCTATAAGTTACACTTTATTAAATTCTGATCGGACATTTTTACCACCATATTAAAGAGCATATTAAATACTATCATGACACTCCGCCACAGCCTTCTGGACGAGCGCCATCGAGAGATTCTGGCACGCGACCGCGATGTGGTGCCTGAGATCAGCGAGATAGTCGATTTCTCCGCCACCGTAGACCACCCTATTGAACTCCGCCCGAACCGGGTAATTGAGGGGATTCAGGTCAGGTGACCTACTTGGATATTCCATCTTCTTTAAGCCCCCTTCCATTCCAAGTAGGCGAGAGTTTCTCCAACGCCCTTCGATTCCATGTGGTGGCAGTACAAAGTTTCCAAGAAGGTACGGGCGACGACATGTGAGGAGGATATTCTTCACGAGTTGCTCAATGTAACCGCCAGCGCTCACCTTCAGTCCGGGGTCCACGAAGAAAATATTGGTCTTTCCATTCCAGGTACGTCCGGTCCATACCATCAACCCGCGCCTTGGCGACTGTGGTGAAGATGATGTCCTAGACCGTGGCGACGTTGTCGGAGCTGCTCGATGTTGGAGGTCTTCCAGATTCAAGAGCGCCGGTGCCTACCCATGTGTCCATGGCTGACTCCCATACTAGAGCGTTTCGCAGCTGCTTGGAGTCGACATGAATTCCAAAGTCTTCTCCAGACCAGGCTGATCTGGGAGATGACTCCCATATTTCGGTGTGCATTAAAAACAGGTGATGGAGCAGCCAGCTCCTGCTTATCGAGGAACATCTTGGGTATCTTCCGCCCTGGTACTCGTATCCACGTCCTCTGTCTGGGCAGCGAAAACTTTGCTGATATGTGACTCGGTCGAAGTGACTTTTTTGCCCCCCCCCTCCCCCCCCCTGTAGGCAACCCAGAACTCAGCACCAAGAGAGAATCTCAAACTGGCGTTGTGCTCTAGAGACACGGCCTGTTCGGTATATTTGGAACGGAAAATGCTTCCGGCTCTGACGTATCTCTCCCAGTTCTCTCTTCTTGCAACCTCGGCATCTTAGTTGTAAGTCTTTCAGTTGTTGTGTGCCTAACGAGGTTAAATAGGTGGAACAACTGGTGAGCCTGTTTCTTGCAGTAGTGGCGTCTTCTCGAAGGGTTCCCGACACTACGTCGGAACCGCTAGATTCGACGAGGCGCTTGGTGGGGTAGGTTGCGAATCTAAAACTTGAAACATGTTCAGGCCTCTGAAGACGACGATTGGGTCGAAACGTTAGGCCATTAATAAATGTTCCACCTATCAACCTCGTTAGGCACACAACAACTGAAAGACTCCGGCTTGACATCCTCGCCCTCATGCGCTTGTGCTCATTTGTGTTAGAACCGAGATGTTGTCATCGCGTTTACTGGAGCAATCCACCTATCTTTTGAAGCTGCGTTCCTATTTACATCAGCTAACGCGACTAGCTAATATGTTGCTTAGGTAGAGCCCCTTCTGCACTTATCGCATCGCAGTTCCTGGTCAAAGACCACTACCTTATACAGTCATTTCCAGAGATGCAGTGGGGTGGGGGGAGAGGAGGGGCTCTTGAAACGTGACGGATGCGTGTACCATAGCATATTTTCATAAGAGCCAAATGTCACCTTATCCTATGCTGGACAAAGACATGGTTACATTTATTGTAAAATGAAAATATCCTGCCGCCGCGAAGAACCGAGCCGCACTGCCTCCTTTGCTGGAGCGTGCCATCCTGGGTTATGGAGCGTTTTCATGGTTATTCGCGAGGGCTTGTGACAGTGATAGTCGAAAACGTACCATGAAATTTCACCCTTTGCCAGCATTGCGATGGCACCATTCTGCACGAAAGGATCGGATGTCAACTGGTAGTCCAGAAGAAGATTCTTCTCGCGAAGGTTTTGCACAAAATGAATCAGAGTGAAGTTCTTCAGACCTTGTTGCAAGATCTTGCTTCGAGGCTGAAACAAATGTAATTGGAACAGCGTAGTAAACGTCCCACAGCGAGCTCTATTCCAGTTCGTTCCAACATATTCACAACCAATATTTCCCCTCGATGCTGCCGTAGTTGGAAGGGCTACACACGAACATAGATGCGCTCTAATCATTTACGGTCCTTTTAGACTAAACACTGGTCGAGCAGCTAATCTCGATGTGTTGCCCTCTTCCAGTAGAGTAGCGCCTTCGCTTTTCGTGCATGACATTCAGCCATAATCCCTGAAAGGATAGGAGGTGTGGCGGGGCGCAGACTGGAACGCTGACAAGGTGGCCTTTTCATCCAATGATGCCATTCCGAAAAGGCAGCAAAACAGGAAAGGCTGCGCTCCATCTAAAGCTCGTTTCACACACGCATAGGAAATAAGAAGCGAAGCGCAATTCAGCACATGTGAGCGTGAAAGAGGCGCTGCAAGCAGGACAGTTTGCACTAGGACCCAACTCAAGGGCAAACTGACATCACATATGGTGGATTAGTGGTTCGCATACAGAAGGCAAGTGCTGAGTAAATCGGTAGTGAAGGAAAAAACGGAAAAACATGCCACTTGAACTGGATAGAACCCCACTGTGATTAGAGTTTGTACGTGCCCAATGAGCTCCATCTCCGACCTACGCCCCCGCACAGCTGATTCCCCGATAAGAACTCTACGATACTACGAGTGACGATTTTCATGCTTTTTCGTCCTGCAGCTTCGTTTTCACTGAAAGGTCGGGTCTGGAGGCGGAGTCACTGGGAAAAAGGAGGCGTCACTGAACCTATATTGCGCTATAGCGCCCCCCCCCTCCCTTACAATTTTTTGCCGCGAAACCGGTACAAGGTTGTTCGTCGCGGACCACACTACCCTCCCGACGCCATGTTTTCAACTTCTATACCGGATCCCGAACCAGATCCTTCAAATAACGCATCAGCGCTGCAGCGCAAGTCGCTTAGCTAATAATTACTTTGCTTATTTACGATGCCGCGCTCCGAGTGAGCTACACCGATAAGTACACCCCAAGTCAGAACAAAGGAAGACCCAGTTTGAAAAACGGATCGAATATTGATTTGGTAGAGAACAACCCGAAAACTTAAGGCTGCTTTCATGAAAATACTACAAGTCAGCAACTTTTCATGAGGCTTGAAAAACCTGAACAGCCCCTCGTCGAGTACAGGAATGTATTACGAATCGAAACATCAACAAGGTCAAAGCTAGTATGAGAGAACTGGAATTACGGAGAAGTATAAATATGTAGTAGCCAACACTGAATGACGCGAAGAAACGATCAATTAGCCAGAGGCATCAGGATATCGCTTTTGCCTGCACAGAACGAGCAGCTCCGGAAAACTCGCCAAGAGAAGCTAACTGTTCCTTACTCAGGGTACTCCCAACGTTTTTTTTTGCTTTAGCGACTAAAGGTTTGTAATCGAAGCCACTATCCACGATGTGCAATCGCGGGGTTTGCCTTCGTCTATTATAGCATGCCTGTCTTTTTAGATATGGGACGACTATCATATTTTGTTTTCAGACGGATAAGGAGACCATCTATGGGATGCCTTTGGCACATGGCATCCTCAGCGCCGCGCTTGATCACTGCCGCGAAGGTGGGACGTTCGCTAGGATTTAGGATCTGACTACGTGGAAAAGGAAGAGATTGTAGGAATTAGGTATTTATGGAATGTGTTCTTTTAGCAATTAAGGTCATACAGTCATAAATAGCCAGAAATTCACTATGAACTATGAAAGCTGTGAAGCTCAAACAAACCTTTTCAACTCACCTCAATTATTCCAAATGTACGTCCAATAATGTCCAGATTGTTCTCATTGATTCGTACCTGAAAAACCTAGTCTAAGAATGACCTAAGAATGACTGCCATTTTCTTCAGCAAAACTGCTTGACACAGTGAAACTTGGGTGGTTGGAAACATCGAAAAGTATGTTTTCTTTAAACCAACGGTCACGCAAAGTCACAGAACCTCAAGAGGTTTTAGGATTCGATGAACATTAAATTTTCACTCGTTGGTAAGGTTTGGAGTGCATATCCGTTTGTACGATGTATGCGGGGTACAATGGATACACGGGCTCGTAACATCTACCTCAGTGTGTACATCTGGTATTATTTAAAATAACTTTGAGATATGAAGGCTCAGATGAGGCTTGGCTTAATTTAAACCTAATCCGCAGAAGAATATTCGAGTTGAAAGAAAGGGAGCTGTTCAAGAGCCAGTCTAACCTTTAAAGGCATTGTACTCAGCAGTTGATTCATGTCCTGATTAATAATCGTCTCGATCATTCGGCACATTCTTTGCTCCACTTGCGGCTTGAAGTGGGCAATAAGAAATGCTGAAACTCGTTCATCAAGTGGGCATAAACTGGGAATGTAGCCAAAATCAAAGAACTTGTATGGCTAGTTTTCTACCAGCAAGTGAAAAGGCACCTTTAAATGCATTGATGAAAAAGTCCGTAATAACACCGGTATTCCGCACGTTTAGATCGACGTAGCCGATGCTCGATTGGCAGAGCGCCGATCGTACTTGAGGTGAGCCGATGGTACTCCCAAAAATACAAGAATTCAAACAGAGGTCATCACAAAATCACGCTCTCGGTGCTTGATTAGTGCCAAGGAGCAAATTGTGGAAGCAGAAAAGGAGAAAAACCCAGTGAGTAGGGGAGAATTGAATACAGTGTTCGATTGATGTTTGACTCATTTTGATATGTTCCTAGGTAATATCATCCATTCACAGGACATCATGTTCCATTGCTCATGTGTTTGTCCCTATATCCAACCTGTAAGCTACAAAGGGATATCTAGTCCTCACAATGAGTCGCGGCAGCAGAGGCTTTGCAAGCAGGGGCTTGATGCAAGCAGAAGTCAGCGCCTTCTAGAAGCGGTCCACCGAAAGCGTCAGAGTGTTGCATCGACTCAACTAGCCAGGGAATACTTTACTGATCTGCATGCCGTGCCACGACCATATGACTATTACTTGATATAAAGACGAGTGAAATTTTGAAATTTGTTGGGACCGGAAAAGTGTTCTGCATGTTCTAGCTCGCTACGTTCTAATGGCAAGGAATCATGAAGTCCACTAATGGTTTTCTGACCATCGTGGATGCGGTCAATGGGGGGAATAACTCTTATAGTTTAGCTGGTCGATATTTTTTAGATTTTATGAGCGAATGTATTTTGCGTAAAAATGTTTAGCACTACTTCTTATTTCGGCGTAAATCGGCGTGGTCATTTGCTGATTATAGAGCAGTTTGCTGACAGTTCTGTCTAAATTTCGAATATAAGAAGCTGTCAACGGAAGTGCACGTTCCTTTCAGTTGCTTTACCAGTGAGTTTCTTATGCCTTGCTTTTCAGCCTTCTTCATCATAGGATTTATAAGCCATCCAGGCGCATGAAAGACGAAGACGAATAACGGAGTAAGCCGATTGATTGGAACTGTGTGGCGCTCCAAAATGGGTGCTTAATAGTACTTTGGTGGGGATCTTTAAGGTCAGGGGACGACATCGAGGGGCTGTTCTTGCTCTGACAAGTGATACTATTAGACGGCGGGCGGGATGAGCGTGTTTGTTCGCTGGGAAGTTGCGGTGAGAGGTGGCGAGAGATTGAAGGTGAGGTGGAGGGATAAGTTTTTGTATGTTCACTTTCTGTTGAGAGATTATACGCTGGGTAACACTCCTTATCGAACATCTCGCCCCAGGAGTACCTTTCAAATTCCCAGAAGGTCAAAGGAAACGAGTTCAAAGCAGAGTAACGAACTCTATATGACGAATATACACTTCTCTGTTTTGAAATGCGAAAAACTTACTTCTCCAGCCGAACTGATATTGTGAGAGCCACGTGACCAAGTAATGCCTCGAAATGTCCAGTGATGGGCACGGTAAGGAGCAGCGGATTCATGATGGATGCTTGGAAATCACCTGCAGCCCTGAATCAACATTTCGACAGAGCGTGATATTTGAACGGCAATCATTTACTAAGGTGAAGTAGGTGAGAGGACCTCCCCTTTTAGTGAGGACGGTTGAACCTTCTTCCCTGGAGCTTTTTTCCCAGTTCATGCATGTGGAGACTACCACATACTGTATGCTAGAATCATGCCAAGATTCATCGAAAGAGTATTACCACAACAATTTCTGGACGAATTCCTGGACGAAACTTCGAGAGGTGTGAAACGAAATGAGAGCTGCAGTTTTTCTTTCATCCTATCCTATCCTTGACTGCGTCTCCCGAACGAAATTTCGAGAAATTTGACTCACTTTCAGCATTCTACTTAACTGTGTTGTGGAAAGTTTGGATTTTTTGGCGTTTTCCACAACTCACCGTCCAGGTAGCGTGCTTGGTTATGTTTAAGCGTGTGGCTGACCAAATGCCAGCGCGAAGACGGCACCTAGGATCCCGACCTTCCAGCCCCGCTCCCGTGCACTTTTTTTAGCGGAGAATGTGGCACGCTACTGCAGCTTTGATCTCATTTACATACACATGGGAATGACCTCGGGTGCTAAGGTTTTGGGGGAACCACACGGCTCCCGGCGAGCGATGACTCGGAGGGACAAAAATCTTCGGGCCTGCAATTGCTTCTTCTCACTTCTCAGCGTTAACTGTTTTACCTTTTGAATAAAGCACCTTTGGGCGGTGTTACATTCATGTGCTGAATGTGATATTATTCCGTTACCTTGAAGAAATCCTCCCTGGATTTAACCAGTCACACGGGATACCACTTTGCAGAGAAGGGGGCTTAAGAGCAGATGAGTTATCGCGTGGTGTTCCCCAAATACGTGAGCACTGGACCACGATCCGTGAAGATGATGATAGTTTGTCTTCACTCGCTGGTCCCATTCAAGCACTTCGTGGATTGCTGTATGATAAACCCAGAAAGGATATTTCAGTCTCAACATCCCGCTGAGTAGTTTTTACTCGACGAATCTCAATTTCAAGGATACTCAACAGCTTTGGCCACTTAAACCGGTCTCTGGTCATTCACTGCTACTTATGTGCCGTCATACCGATTTAGCTAGCCGTGTTTGACTAATCCTTCTTGTTTATAACCTTCGCTCGAGGAAGCGGGATGAAGGGTAGATATTTGAAGACCCAGCCAGTTTCTGTCTTAATATGTGTAACATGGCGGCCTTTTTTCTTCCAAGATAGAAATTATGTCTAAAAAGACCGCTTCCAAATTGGTTCAGCAACAGAACGCATCTTACTGCACTTCTTCGTTGTCTTAGTAAGCCAGCAATCAGGGTACAGCATCGTGATGTGTGAAATGGTACTGAAGGTACGACCCGTTAGAAAGAGGGTGTCGACCATCCCCACTTAATGAGAGTCTCGGTACGACCCTCCCCTCCCCAGCACCCACCTACTAATTTTGCACGATTTCCTGTTATTCACCCAAAATTTTCCGTGGAGCGGGGAGTGGGGACATAAAAATCTCACGCGATTTCTTTTGAAGACACGTACGACCCCTCTCCCTCGACGGACCGAATAGGACCGCCCCCCCCCCTCCGCCGGCCCTTCCCAGCGGGAAAGTACGACTCCCCCTATGTGTTTCACACAACGATGCTATACCCTGCCTGCAATACTGCGATGGAACAACAATGGGAACGTGGACTAACCGGATGTGCATCTTTGACATGCTCCACTGAAACATATTTGGTTCGACGAGATCCAGTGAGTATTCCTGAGGTGGCCAGTATTTAGAGATATGAGCGTTGTAGATGAAGACCTGAGAAAGTTTTCTACAGTTATGAGAGCAGCAAACTAGTTACAAAGAACAAGAAGGAAGTTTCAAATAATTGGTGAACATCCATAAACGTGCCACGGATTTCATTCTCATTGCCAGACAAAAATTTTGCATGCGGATGTTGGTATCATAGTAATAACTAAAAAATGCCAAAAATAATTTTGCATTCACAGGTCTGCTCTCGAAAAACATTTCCCACATCAAATAAAACTTTGCCACCGTTTCTGCAGTGCACAGTTCATATTGTCGCAATCAGCCGATACGGTGCCAAGAGGCGTGAAACAAGCCCCTTTGCAGTGTTTTCTGCCGCTGATTGTTACCTTTCCAAATCACAAATCATTACAATCGGGCACAAATCGATCACTACTGGCAGAGCAAGGCAGCCGGAGGTGGGCTCTTTCCAACCCTTCAGATATCGCCCCGAATCACTGCGACGATATCAACCAAACGATAAATGTGGTTTTCTGAAATTGTAGTCTCGTTGTGTTCGCCGTGTTTAGCCAGTACTCGGCTCTTCAGTCTGATTCCTCATGCCTTGTATTCGGCTCGTGTCTGATTCTTCCCGCTGTTTCAGTGTCGCATT